TTACAATTTAATTTTGGCTTGGATTATGTTAATGTTATTTAAAGAACTAAATAAAGGAGGATGTTCTAGCACAACTTCACTATTTTAGCAATAACTTGAAAACGAAAAAAGATATCGACCTCCGGTTTGTGTATTTGTTTTCCATAATGAATGGTCTATCAAGCCATGAAGAAAAACCTATATCGTTGCATTTAATTTTTTTAGTAAACGGAGACAATTATAAAACTTTTCTGATTAGCGTCGTCTACCGTTGTGAAGGAAAATAGTTTTTTTAATCCCATATCATAAATATAAATTTTATTAATAGTTTTTTTAAAATGAGCTATCATTTATTGAAATCGCTTAAGGCATTTAGAAGTCATAACAATTAAAAATTTCAAGATGGCGTCCTCCATACTGGCGTTGCTATGATAATAACAAAAAAAAGTTCAAACAAAACTTGTGAACGGTTTAACAGTATATCTAAAATGTGTGTTTTCAACTTAGGTTATATAAGCAAAATTTCGAGAAAACGACAATTTTCTGTAATACTATAGCAGTTGCGCTTTCTATCGGTGAAGTTACTTGAAAATATTTTAAATCAATTTCTTTTAGCCGTATTTGTTAACATATTTTTTAACCCCATAATCGCAGCACGTATAATTTCCCGCTCCGTACCGTTAATGGATCACCCTGTATACATATATACAGTGTGTATGGAGTCAAGCACTCCTGTAAACTTTTTCATTGTTGATTTTTCGAGAAAAAGTTGTTCCTGATAAAAAGTTTTGCTTATCTTGGGAAGTTATAGGCAGTAATCAAATATGTAATAAAACATACAGGGCGTCCAAAAAAATTCAAAATGTGAAATTTTCCTCCTTAAGCAGAGCCTTTAATTTTGTGTTCGTTAAAAACTATATTTAACAAAGTTGTTCAAGAGCTCAACAAATAGTTAAATACGGGATTTAGTCAAAAAATAAGAATAATTACATTTTGCAAATAAGAAGGCGCGATATTTAACCATTTTACTTAAAGCAGACAGAAAATGTAAAATGTAAGTAAATTTTTATTTTAAATCACAATGTAATATAAAAATAAATTGGTAGAACAATTTCTGGGTTGGTTGCCACAAAGTCGCTTTAAGTTTCTTGACGTTTCGAGAGACATATCGCTCTCTTGCTCAGAAGTAACTCTGAAAGTTTCAAATTTTTGGAAAAGTTATATGTCTTTCGAAATGTGAAGAAACCTAACAACTGCCACGGTAGCCTGCAAACCAAATAAAAGTAGCTTTTCTAATTAAAAAATGGAAATAACAAATTAGAACTGGAATTAACAACAGCAACGAAACAAGTCCTATTCAACTTGTAAACCTCCAAGTAATACACATTTTTCTAATCTTTTTCTAAATTCCTTGTGAATAGACGAGATTCATTTTTGTTTATGGTGGCAACAGCTTCCTGAATTTTTTGCTTAAGTAAATCAATATTATCGTCAAAACCGTTTAAATACACTTTTTGGTTTAGGTATCCCCATAAGAAATAATCTAATGGGGATAACTCGGGTGCCCGTACAGGTCAAGGTATTGATCCATAGCGCCCGATCCACTTGTTCGGGAAGTGAATGTCAAGCCAGTTTCTCACTAGAAGTTATCAATCGAAAAATTGGATTATCTTTAGACCAGTATCTACAATTTTTAATCAGTTACTCGCCCATTGTTAAACAAAAGTCCAAACGACGACCATCACCTCCATCAAGCAATGTATGATTAAACACTGGTTTGAATGGATAGATTTTAATATACCTATATTAAAATTCTTTGAATGAGATCTGCTAATATCTATGTTTTCTGACGTTTTCCTGGATGACATCAGCTTTGGATTGTCTAGTACATAGTTCATAACTACAACAGTAGCAGCATCATTATCACTGTATTCTTTTTTTATATCTTTAATATTTTTTATATCACCAGTGGTATCGAATTTTATATTTAGCTTTCGAACTGCTCTGCGAGTTACAGTTACATTTGGATAGTTTTCATTAAAAATTTGTATTGCATATCGATATGAAACATTACCGATTCAATAACATTTCACAAAAGATATATTCGTTGCTCCAGTATAATTAATAAAAATTATTCAGTGGGCAGTTAATAAAATTAAATATGTTGACGTTGACATTGATAAGGAATATTCATTGTAGCTGTATGGTATGCAAGATCGTTAAAAATTTCTTTTTATTTGCAAAATGTGATTATTTTTCTTTTTTAACTAAACCCCGTATTTAAACATTTCTTGAGTTCTTGAACAACTTTGTTAAATATAGTTTTTAACAAGAACGAAAATTAAAGGCACTTTGTTTAGGGAAAATTTCCTATTTTAAAATTTTTTGGACGACCTGTATAGTTTATTACATATTTGATTACTGTCCATGATTTCCCAAGATAAGCAAAACTTTTTATCAGGTATAACTTTTTCTCGAAAAATCAACAATAAAAAAGTTTACAAGAGTGCGGAACCTCATCCGGGGACACACTGTATATATTATTGAAAGAAACTTAGTAAAAAGGACAAATAAAAAAAATTATATGGAAAAACAATTATTGTAATCCATATAGTCATATAAATACACTATTGACACTATCGTTTTATAAAAATGTCATCCTTTTCTCTAATTTTTATTTATATGTATACAGGCTGTCTCCTAAAAAATGCCGCAATCCATAACTCCGTTATTTATAGTCTGATTTTAAAAAGCAAAATATTAAATGAAATGACTCTAATTACACTATAAAGCGAGTCTATTAGAGCTCATTTACTATTTTTTTTTTTGAAAAGCGATTTTTTTTCAAATGGCAATATAGTTTTTTTGTTATTTATTATTGTGCAGATTTATTTTCTGAATCCAACGATGTATATGAACTCTACTTTTGTAACGCATTTATTACAGAAAAGACGACAAAATATTAGTCGATGCTGCATTCGGACATTAATTCATGACAAATGTATTTAACTAATCATCTGTGCCATGGAAAACAAAAAATAATACAGCAAAGCAAATAAAACTCAAAAGAGAATTTTGTAGTTAACAGAGAAGAAACAATACAATGAATATCAATTAAAAGAAAAATAATTTAATTAAATACATTAACCATTATACAAAATTCAACACGAAATAACATTAATTAAACACAAAACACATTAAACGAGGAACAACAAACCCAAAACAACTAAAGAAACAAATTGTAGACGTCCTCTATTGCTGTACTTTTTGAGGAATGTATGGCTTGAATGTGTGCTTTTTCAATACTGCACGTACAGTTCTCTTTGATGCTCTATTATTATTAAAAATTTCCCGAATGGAAGTTCTTGGATTTTCTTCGACGTTAAGAAGAACATTGAACTCGGTGTTTTCATTAAATTGGCGTTCCTCTTGCTTTAGATTCTTAAAACACCATAGTTTCTCAAATTTTCTTCAAGTCAAGTTACAAATCTACGTGGTTCTGGGACTTCTCTGTGAGGAAATAGTTCTCTGTAAAGGCGGACTCCTGCACCACGATTTTTATTACACCGAAAGTATACCTGAATCATGTCCGTCAATTGATTATTACTCATATTTTGCACTGTTGAGCTTATTTCAATAAATAACCTACTGTAAACGACACAGAAAGAGTATAATGCGTAAAAAACTGGGACACGAACGCTAAAATGACATTTACTTGCTTTGTTGTATTATTTTTTGTACATGCATGATTAGTCAAAATATGTTTGTTGTCAATTAAGCGACCGGGCGCTAAAATGCCGTATTGACTAATATTTTCATGCTTTTTCTGTAATACGTGTACAATAATAAATAAAAAAAACATATACCGGGTGATTCAGTTTGGTATTCGCGGCCCTGTATCTCTTTTATTTTAACAAATAGCTATAACAAACCCTATATATTTTTAAATCGCCGCTCAAATTCTATCAAATGACATTATTAGATCGTCTCCATGGTAACAAATGTCAAAATTGCTAGAGTCAATTGTTTTTGTTGAAATGGCACACTATATATTTTTTTATCGATTCTGGAAGATATTTTTTTTCTGCGTTCAGCTAGGTAAGGTAGTCTATAGTTTCATTAGAAATATTGCTAGAAAAACAGCAAAAAAGATGAACCCTACTTTTCGTACCTTTAATCTGAAAAATGATAGCCAGCTACGGAAACAAGCTACTGTGTTTTTTAAAGTAACATATTTTATTTTTAATACGATAATAATATAACAATTTAAAACAATACCTATTTCAAATGTTCAAAATGACCTCCATTTGCTTCCAAACACAGAATAGCTCTGTTTATCACTCTCTATAAACACATTCTAGTGTTTCTTCATTTAATCTCCGACATTCTACTCTTATTTTGCTTTTAAGGTCGTCAATATCATTTAGGTAAGGTCAAAGAAAGAAATCTATAGGAGTGAGATCCGGAGACCTAGCAGGCTATTTAACATCTTCATCGAATGTTCTTCATCTCTTGCCTTTCTGGGTTTAAAAACCCTTCTTTTCTTTTGAAAACTTTCATCTGCCGCCAAATTCCTCTAACTTTCCGAAAATTTTATCTGATGGAAGTTGTCTCTGAGGAAAACGATGTTGGTATAAATACCTGGCAGCTTTATCGTTCTTTCGGCGCTCTCCATAAATTAAAATCATATTTAGTATTTCTTGATTACTGTAAGTATTCATGTTATAATAGGTATAGATAGAATAGGTAGGTACAAAATGTCAATTATTTTGACAAACCGTTATTTAGAAACGTCAAAATTCAGTTGTTTCCGCAGCTGGCTATCATTTTTCTCAATAAAGCTACTGAAAGCAGGGTTTATCTTTTTTGTTGTTTCTCTAGCAATATTTCTAATGAAACTATAGACTTCCTTATATAGCTGAACGCAGAAAAAAATATCTTCCAGAATCGATAAAAAAATATATAGTATGCCATTTGAACAAAAACAATTGACTATAGCAATTTTACCATGTTACCATGGAGACGATCTAATAATGTCATTTGATAGAGTTTGAGCGGCGATTTAAAAATATATAGGGTTTGTTATAGCTATTTGTTAAAATAAAAGAGATACGGGGCCGCGAGTATCACCCGGTATTGCCATTTGAAAAAAAAATCGCTTTTCAAAAAAAAAAATAAATACGCCTCACTCTATAGTGCCTTTAGAGCCATTTCACTTAATTTTTTGTTTTTTAAAATCAGACTATAAATGACGGAGTTATGGCTTGCGACAGCCTGTACAATTTTTTCTGTTAATGTTAGTAACGAGAACGGAAGCTGCCTGCTGAAACGATACCAAATAAAATGTGGAATGTGCGATTTCTTGTCTATAAAACCCCAGGCACCGGATAATAATTTCGCGTGTAAATTTTTATAATTTTATTATTACTTATCACGGTTTCAACAATGATATTATTTCCTTGGACATTCTACATTCCGTGTTATCGTTCAAAGGGTAAATCCGTGGGTGTAAGTGTGTGAGGAAGTCTGCTTATATTGCCCTTAAACTATCAACTAGAAATGTAACACGACGTCCATACAAAACTTTTTTTCCAAGTTAAAGTTAATATATTTGTTTCGATTTTGACCAACATATTCTCTCTGTTCTATAGCACTTTGGACACTACACATGGAATCACAGTATTTTTAGCGGTATATTAATGTAATCTATGTGGCACTGTGTCAATTGGCTTTGCTGCAACAGTTTTTTAAGCTGAAATACCTCATAAAAATATTTTAAATTTGTTAAAATCTAAACTTTACTAAGAATATCTCTATAGTCATCTGAATAAATGATTTCAAAGTTATCACTGCAGCATTTTGATTTAACATGTAAAATGTCCAATATTTTCTTTAAAAAATAAAATCCCTTGGTTTACATTTATAGTTATTACAATTAGTCTTTAAAATTTTATGCAAAAGAAAATCTGTTTCTATATAATTTGTTTTTCTACAAATTTTATTTATTTTGCTAAGGATTGTAACTAGTTTCCGAATCACTTTGCAATATGTAATGCGTTATTTAATTTTTCTTAAGTTTATTTTAATTTTATTTAGGTGCATTGGGCTTTCTCACGACAGGAGATGAAATAGTGCCAGGTAATAATGGCTTGAAGGATCAAGTAATGGCACTGAAATGGGTAAACAATAATATCTTTAAATTTGGGGGAAATCCCGATAAAGTAACACTTTTTGGAGAATCTGCCGGAGGCGCCAGTGCTCATTTTCACATGATGTCACCATTAAGCACGGGTAGGTATTAATATTATTAATAATCTATTACTAACACATTATATTGCTAAACACAATACTTAAGTGATATGAGATTGATAGAACCAGACTACGCTTTAAACAGGTGGTGGAGCGTACTTAATTAAATAATTTGAATTAATGTTTTGCTAAAATGAATGTTTTTCTCGACTAAGTACGTTCAATGCTATATCAGCAATTAACTAAGAATTTAATAAAATTCAAGGAATCTCGTTAAAAATATGTTATACTCTATAATTACCCCATCATTTCGTTTAAATGGCAAATGTTAAATATTTATAAACTATTATTAGATACAGGATTATTCGTCTTACAATAAATAAGTAGGTATACTTTATAAAAGCGTAAACATCTGGACACACAGTATACAAACACTTGATTTTTAATTTGGCAGGTATTTAGGTATGGATTTTCATATTTAAATTATTTATTTGATTCATTAATTTTTATATTTGTTTACGCATTTTTTGAGTCTCTTTTAGTGAGTTTTATCGAGAATAAAATATTTTTCTAGAGATTATTAATATTTCTTTCAACTAAAGAATAATACCTATTGACGTTCTTGTTTAAAAATGATATAGGTAGCTATTTGGAGAAAAATACCTCCGATTTTATAGAAAACACGATCCATTGTTTTTTTCTTCTTAATTTTACCTTAATTTAAAATAATAAGGTAATTATAAATTTAAATACGTGATATATTCGCCTAGATGTTACGAATTTCTGTTTACGACAAATAAAGGACTAGATGTACAATCGGTTATTTTTTTAGAACAAACAAAAATGTTTTTAACAGTAAATAAAAATTTAAAGTATAATTCATAAATCATTTTCCGTTTTGTTTGTAATTGCGGGCAGAATGATATTGTACTAAGAGAGATGTTCTTTGCAAAAATCCTATTTGTTACTATACTTAAAATTTTTAGAAATATAAAATCTGAATAACTGATGCGGATTTTGTTGTGGAAGTTTTTTATCATGGAATGTATCTTGCAAGGAAAGTTATTCTGAATTTTCAGTCTGAATAAGAAATTTTCCCTTTTTATTATCTGACGTTACCTACAATTTTTGCAGGATTGTCAAATATTTATGTAAATGCATATTTTACGGTGTTTCGAGATATTATTAAAATTATTTCGTATAAGGATTTAAGCACAATACAATAGAAAAGTAGTAGAAGTAGTAAAACTATTTATTATTAAAATTGTAAAGCAATAAAACTAACGAGTTCCGGATATTTATATTTAAATATACTTAAGTGGACTTAAAAATTACATCTTTCCATAACCATAAAATATGATGATATAAATAGTATATCTATTTATAATTTAATACATTAAAAGGTGTATAGGGAAAGAAAATTTTAAAGGGGTGCTAGCTGAAATCATTTGGAATATATTCACACATATACACATCATATATAAAGTGTGGATCACGGCTTCCAAAATTTCTTTATCAACATCACAAGCATGTACAGGCATTTCTAATTCCCCTTTTTGATCTAACTCGGGCATTTCTGTGTTCGCTTATTCAATTAATAAATACCTGGACATTTGGAAGTCTTCTTTGGGGAAAATGGTCGTGATACAATCTATGAGCAGAATTAGCATTTCCATTCACTCTTCCGTACATAAACATTATATCTGCATATTCTGCATTTGAAAATCCAACTATTATGTAATTTACAGTAAATTAATTTATTTTAAGCATCAATTTCATCACAATTTCACAAATGATCAACTGACTCTCAGTCAAAGTTAGTCAGATTTTATTTCAAAGCAACCATGATTTTTAAAACATGATATAAATAACAGGGTTAATGGAACTTGTGCAGGAATAATTCAAGAAAATGTATAGGTACATTTAATTGACAATTATAGGTATTAAAAGACTATACATTTTCTTATAATATCTAAGTGGTTTTAAGTGTCCTAAAGGTAGCCTGAAGCATTCAAAACAGTTTTATTCACTATTATGACTTACCGCATTCCAAGAATATCCACTTGAAATAATTAGTTACGCAGATCAGTAGAGTTAAAATTTTCATATTACATATTGTCAAAAACAGGCAAAAATTGAAAAAATTACATTTTCTATAAATGTTCACTTACATGGTAATTGTGATACAATAATCTCTTGCATCTATATAATTATTTTTAGTCACACAAAATTTTCATCGGCACTTGCTGTAAATATAAGAATATCCTTTTTAAGTTGCAATTTTTTTAAAAGGATATTGTAACATTTGGTGAATTGTAGAAATATCACTTTTAAATATTTCTCTGTATCGTAAATATAGGTATTCAAACGGAATAAATGCTATGAAATTATTGCAATGTTATAATTTACATATCTTTTAACCTTAAGTTATTTTTCCTAATATCTCACAGGTAATGATGCAGAAACGTTTTCAATGACAGCAATGAAGTTTTTACCAAATGCGTTCGAGGTGAAACATTAATTGCCTCTATAAATAGTAATTAAATTAGTGTTATGTTTATCACCTACTTCGGTTTGCAAGTTTACATTCCTAAGGATAACTTATTCTATAAAAGAGAAATTTGCAGGGTATTTATTTCCATGGGTCGATATAGTAATTTTCATGATTTTTTCCAAGCCATTTCGAATTTAATTAACCCATTAAAACTATTACTTCTACCCATATACAGTGTGGCCCATTAAGAGCTGCGACACTTGTCTAAAAAATGTTTAGTGCTTGCGATTTCAATGATTTATTTTTTTATATACATTGGCCTTCTAGATGTAGTTGTACCTATTACGATGATCCAGCTGCTAATTCAGGTACCATTTGTTTTGCAATCATTTTTTCGAAAATTGTTTAGAAAAATGTGGCAACATGGCGTTGTTAAGCATTATTTATAACCTGGTTGGTGCCAAATTTCATCAATTTTTATAAAAGAATATATTTTTTTATATGACCTCAAAGGTTTTATTTATTGAATTTGTTTCTGTTAAAAAATGTAGAAGGTATTGGAAACGCCTATAAATTATTGTTAATAATATTGTTCCTCTACTTGACAAATTAAAGTGTTAACGTAAAAACAGTAGCTAATAACATTTATATCAACAAATTTGGTACATTAAAATAAAGAATTGGAAATTTGAAATATTCGAAAATAAACAAATAAAAACTTAAATATTAGACATCTCTACATCTACAAGCTTCCCGTTTAAATTGATTAATTTTTGGAGAAAAAAAATAAAATCCACTTAATTGCATATCCCTGGACCAAATAAGAAACATTATAAATATTCGTTAAGGTACCGCTTGGGACGCCACTGGACTTAACAAATCTATTCAAGTTAGGGTTAAATTAACCCCTTTACACTACAAATAATACTGCCAAATTACAACAAAATTGGGTAAAGAGTGTTTAAGGTATTTACGAAATAGCAATTTTTTTACAAAAGTTTAACACCCTGTATCTTGAAAACAAAGCATCTACGGACCAATGTTTATATGAACTTTTTGTCTTAAAATCACACAAATAATCGTCTGTTGAATTTATTGTACATACTTAAAAACACCCTGTATATTTCGAATATATGTAACCATACCCTTACCGATTCAGAATTATGCACATTACTACCGTCTAACTCTAACTGAAAATGAGCATTCAAGCGGTTCTCGAGGGGAATATTATCTAGAACTTTCTAAATATTCAAAAACTTGTGTGTATTTAAATTTCCATTGAAAAAGAAGGTCGAATAATTTGTTTAATTTAAAATACAGCACCAAACATTAAATTTTTGAAAATATTGGTTAACCAACTCATATAAAAAATTCGTTATTTAGTACATATAACACTTATTGAACGTATTCCTCATATTAAACGTTTATTATTTTTAATATTAAAATAATTTAAAAACTGATTGGAACCATGTTTTTCATTTTTATGTTCTAGGCTTATTCCAAAGTATTATTGCGCAAAGTGGAACCGCACTTTGTACATGGGCAGTTGCAGGCAAAGGCGAAGGAGTATCGAATTCGAAAAAATTGGCGAAACTTTTTGATTGTCCCACAGAATCGAGCATGGAAATGGTGGAATGTTTAAGAAAAATCAACGCAACGCTTATCATAGGCCAGGATACAGAATTCATGGTAATATATGTAAAATAATGCAGTGTGTTAAATTAACTGATGACTAATATTTTTCCCACATGTCCGTTATGTCAAAATGAGGTAAATACACGGCTTTGTGTTGAGTAAAATATAATTTTAAAATCTGACTTACCTCAACATTGCAAGAACCTTTGAGAACTGCCAATTTTCATAGATGTTTGATGTACCCACCATTTGCTTGCACACAAGCTTCAGCGCGACGTATCCAATTCGCTCGTACGCGTTGCAACATTGCCACGTCCTCTCGAATCGTATTACAAGCTTTAGCAACACGATGTCGCAGTTGGTCGATGTCACGAACTTCCGTGGAATACACAACACTTTTCACATATCCCAACAAAAAGAAGTCTAAAGGGGTGAGATCCGGAGACCTGGGGGGGGGGGGCATCTAACTAGGCTGCCGCGGCCTATCCAGCGATCGGGAAAAGTAATGTTTAGAAAGTCGCGCACTTTCCGAAAAAAGTGAGCGTCATACCACATAATTTGTCGAACATATAATGGTACGTCTTTCAATAACTCCGGCAAGCGATTTTGCAAAAAATCTGGATGTGAAGCACCATCTAAGCATCTAGGCAATTCAAGAGGTCCTATTCAAGTGTCATTAACGATACCGGCCCACATATTCACTGAAAATTGTTGCTGGAAGGCACCGCGACGTATTTCGTGTGGATTTTCGATAGTCCAGTGTTGTAGACGTTAGGTAAATCATTTCGAGTGAAACAGTGAAACATGCTTCATCTGTCACAAGTATTTGCTATGTAAATTGAGGATTTCTTGCATGTTCCTGAAGCAACCATTCGCAAAAACCTCGACGTAGTGGAAAATCCTCAAGAGTAAGCGCTTGAACACGTTGAATATGAAATGGGTACAACTTAGCATCTCGTAATGTCTGCCACACAACAGGATGCGGAATACTTATTTGCTGTGCGATATTTCGGGTGCTACGATGCGGATCTTCTTCGATGAGACGAGATTTAAAATCATCTCCTCGACATAGAAGATTCTTAGTGGTCGACCTGAACCACCGTCGCGACCTCGACGCGGTTGTACTTCACCGGTGTCCAAAATTCTTTGCGCTACAGCAACAAATGTTCGCGGTGCGAGGGCACGTCGTTCAGGATATCTTGCACGGTACACTTGACAAGCTCTGTGGGAATTTTCGTTTGCTTCGCCATAAATTATGAGCATATCATAATATTCGCGATTGCTAATTAAATGCGCCATTTTCGAAAGAAAACTTAAAAATACGACTATTAAATGTACTCTCGAAAAACAGCACAGCAATCATTACAACAATGTGCTACAAACTGTAGTTACACATTTGACACTAGGTAATATAATCGCAATAACTTATATTAATCTACAATAAAATTAACATGTATTTAGAAACACACACACAAAATTACTTAAGACATATTTACATAGGTACGAAAAAGTTGCATAGGCAATAGTTTTATTCAGTAAATCACCATAAAACTTTTATTTGGTATTCTACACCTTAAATTGTAAATATATTCCAACAATTGATAAACAAACCTCACTCAATTACATATAAAATGATCAATTTCTGATTTTGAAAAATATCCAGTGGAACGGTTTATGTTACTTTCCGTTGTCATGTCATAATAAATGTTGGATTATGTTCAGATTAAAATAAATAATGCTGATATAGTTATAAAAAATAACTAATGTTTTTTATAGGAGTGGGATTATGATCCAATGATTCCTTTTAAACCAGTAATAGAACCGAAAGTTGAAGGAGCATTTATGACTGAACACCCTGTAGAAATGATTGAATCTGGGAAGAGTGCTGATGTGCCAATGATTATTGGTCTCAATACTGAAGATGGAGGACTAAAAGCAGCAGGTACGTATATCTCATGATTTATTTAAAAAAAACAGTAAGTGACTAGGAAAATGTTTTAATAGACATCATGCACTTATGAAACATTGTTAAGTTTAGTTAAATTTACGGACTATTACGTTCATAAGAAAGGAACATTAACATAATTAGAGGAAAGGATTAGAAAGAATACAACAATGCTATAAAAAAAGTAAAGACATTTTAAATTCACTTCATGTTAATATTATTATAACGCGTGGTGTTTCAATAAGAGTGGGTAAAAAAAGTAGCTACACTTTTCAATTTACAGAACGTCAAAGTTTAGAAAAGTTTGAATTTTGGCAACATTTCGAAAATCAATAAAGCTATAACCGTTCATGATCTTCTGGAAAAGAGTAAGTATTCATATTCTGTTAATTTTTATATTTCACATTTGGGTAAAATAAAATAATAAAAATGAATCAAATATGCTTAATTTTGAGCAAAAATGGTATACCACTTAAAAGGTGAGAATATTAAATATTTTCGAAATAGAAATGACTTTTTGATTCACTGTGTGTTAAACAAAAACATTAATGTATGTTCAAAGGAAAATCGAATTTTTGTGATTTTTATATTGCACTGACATACTTCTGGTAGATACTTGTGTATGAAATAACCCTTAACATATATTATTTCTCTTTGTAGATATTCTCTTACATGGAAATGTTGTTCTTAAACGATTTTATTTGTAACATGTGGATACAATTCATTACGTATAGTCTAAAAAGTTAATTAAACATTTTTAAGAATGGTTGAATGATTTCCGGGCTGGTTGTCACGTCGTCGGTTTACAACACTTGACGTTTCGAGAGACATATTGCTCTCTTCTTCAGAAGTTACTCTGAAACTGAAGATCTACTAGTCTTGTCACTATTTATATTTGATATGGTTACTGGTCCATGATGTTTCGGTGGGTGAGCTCGTACGCGTTGTTGACGTTCCAGTGGGTTACTTTCACGGATGTTGAAATTGTTCGGATTTCTGTAAATTTGTAAAGCTTCTCTGTATAGTCGGGGCCAAAATCTTCTCTCTCTCTCACCACCATGTTGGCTTCACTCAGATCCACTGTGTGTCCCGTGTCCGCCCTATGCTCTGCTACTGCCGATATTTCCCAGTTGTTATTTTTGAGGTGACTTTTGTGTTCCTTTAACCTCGTGTTGATGTGCCTTCCTGTTTGTTCTATGTACACCTTTCCGCAAGAGAAAGGAATACTGTACACACCGGGGCCCTGGAGTTGGTCGTTGTTGCAGGTCTTTGGAAACGCTGCCGCCACCTTCCTTACAGTGCTGAATAACTCTGTTGATATTCCTCTTCTTCAAAAGACGCCCGATTTTATCTGTACAACCTTTCACGTAAGGTAGATACGTCGTCGCTAAGTACTCCTGTTTCTCAATGGGTGTATGTCTCCTCCTGATAGCTCGTTCTATATTTCTCGCCGTGTAGCCATTCCCTCTCAGGGCCGTGCGTAGGTGTTCTAGTTTTTTGGCCAAGTGTTTTGGCTCGTTGATGATCCGCGCTCGATGAATCAAGGTATTTATAATCCCCTGTTTTTGGGCTGGGTCGTGGTGGGACACCGCATTCAGATACCTGTCTGTGTGAGTTGGCTTCCTATATACTCGATGTCCTAAAGTGCCATCTGGTTTCCTCTCAATTAAAACATCCAAGAAGGGAAGAAGCGGCGTTTTTCTCTACTTCCATGATAAACTGGATATCTGGATGTATCCCATTGATGTGATCCAGGAAATCCGCTACGGTGTCAGATGATGAAGGTGTCGTCAACATATCGGTTCCAGCATTTAGACTTCAACGTTTTGGATTCCAGGGCTTTCTTCTCAAAGGCTTCCATGTATATATTGGCCAGGACTGGAGATGACGGTGACCCCATTGCTGCTCCCTCCGTCTGTTCGTAGAATTGGTCCCGGAATGCAAAGAAGGTCGATTTTATGCACACTTTTGCCAATTCCATTAGACTCTCATCTTTTTCCTCTGCGATTAGTCTTCGATGCAGTTCCTTCAAGGCTTCGTCGACAGATACTTTCGTAAATAGGGATGTGACATCGAAACTCACTAGGATATCTCCTGGTTTGAGTTCAATTCCTCGAATCCTGTCGATAAAGTCTCCGGCGTTTTTGACGTGATGCTCTGTTCTCCCTACTAAGTCCCTTATCTCATGTACTACGTATTTGGCCAGGAAGTGTGTTGCTGATCCAACTGCACTATTGGTCGAAGAGGTATCCCTCTCCAGTTTGTGAATCTTTGGTAAGCAATACAGTTGAGGTGTCCTTGAGTCGGTTTGGATCAAACTCCTGTGAAGTTCCTTGGGNCGGTACCAGCATTTAGGCTTCAAAGTTTTGGATTCCAGGGCTTTCTTCTCAAAGGCTTCCATGTTTATATTGGCCAGGACTGGAGATGACGGTGACCCCATTGCTGCTCCCTCCGTCTGTTCGTAGAATTGGTCCCGGAATGCAAAGAAGGTCGATTTTATGCACACTTTTGCCAATTCCATTAGACTCTCATCTTTTTCCTCTGCGATTAGTCTTCGATGCAGTTCCTTCAAGGCTTCGTCGACAGATACTTTCGTAAATAGGGATGTGACATCGAAACTCACTAGGATATCTCCTGGTTTGAGTTCAATTCCTCGAATCCTGTCGATAAAGTCTCCGGCGTTTTTGACGTGATGCTCTGTTCTCCCTACTAAGTCCCTTATCTCATGTACTACGTATTTGGCCAGGAAGTGTGTTGCTGATCCAACTGCACTATTGGTCGAAGAGGTATCCCTCTCCAGTTTGTGAATCTTTGGTAAGCAATACAGTTGAGGTGTCCTTGAGTCGGTTTGGATCAAACTCCTGTGAAGTTCCTTGGGTATGTTTGAGCATCTGACTGCAGCGGCTACCTTCTTCTCAACTTTATTGACTGGGTTGTTTCGGATGTTCTTGTAAATGGGATCCAACAATAGGTTTTCCACCTTGGCGATGCAGTCCACGGTGTTCAGTACGACTGTTGCGTTCCCCTTGTCGGCAGGCAGTATTGTTATTGATTCATTCTTCTGAAGACCTTTAAGGGCTTGAATCTCCCTGCGGTTCAGGTTGGGTTTGGGAGGTTTAGCAGTCCGAAGAACGTGTGCTGCGTCGGCTCTCACTTACGTACGAGGTCACCCACCGGAACATCATGGACCAGTGACCACATCAAATATAAATAGTAACAAGACTAGTAGATCTCCAGTTTTAGAGTGACTTCTGAAGAAGAGAGCGATATGTCTCTCGAAACGTCAAGTGTTGTAAACCGACGACCTGGCAACCAGCCAGGAAATCATTCAACCATTAACGACAGCCACGGAAGCCTGCAAACAAAACTATTTTTAGGAATGTTTGAAAATGCACATACCATAGAAGAATTCGATGAAAATTTTAATAAACTGGCACCATTAAGTCTAATGTACAGTAAAATAGTGAATGACACGAACTCTGTAACCAAGAAATTGAAAGAATTTTATTTCAGCAATGAGAAGCTTGACAAATCCAAAATATATGACTTAATCCATGTAAGAAAACTATAACTTATTTTTTCTTAATAATGTGCGCTATTATTTATTTTCTTAGCTCTACACCGATGGGTGGTTTCTATACTGTGCTGATGCAGCAATAAGATTGCACCTTAGGCACACTAAACAACCAATTTATTATTATCTCTTTGGACACAGAGGCGCATCTAGTTTTACAAAAATATTTGGAGGAGGTGAAACTGATTTAGGTATCATTGTTTCTGTTATTATATTTATATATTTTATTTCATCCGTTAAATCATATATTTATAGGTGTTAATTTTTCAAAAAATAAATAAATACATACATTATTATTAATTATTTAAAGTAGGCGACAAAAACTTGCACAAATTAAATTCATTGCTCACAATGTTAAGGAGGAAAAGGTGCGGAATAATTACTATCACAAGTTTGTTGCCGAAATATGTATTATCGCTTTAGTGCAGAAGTAGAAGATATGTTCCATTCTTAACAAAATATGTATATATATACAGGGTGATTCAGAACTTATCCAAAAAAATTTGGGAATAGATGCGGCATGAAAAATGGAGTCAATATCGTAAAAAAATTTTTTGTAAAATCCTTATAGTTTCCGAGAAAAAAATTATTGAAGTTATAGTACATTCAACGACTATATAGCTGGACAACTGTAGTCTCTAGCGTCATTTGCAATGCGCGTGGAGAGCCACGTGGCCTCAGCGACTCCGAATACTGAAATCATATTTTGCAATCGTCGTTGCAACAGTATGTACCTGTTATNATAAAGATGTAAGTATAGTTCAAATACGTTTTTCTCTAGTTTAATACATAATATCTCTGTAATTTTACAGTGACGAGTGGAGATAATTTTACGCATTTGTTACAGATTAACTGTGATTACATAAATGTAATTCCCATTAAACTGATATTCTTTTCTGTTGATCTAAGTAAAAACATATATTTTTGTTTATACTACATAAGCTTTAATAAATGGTTTAGTTTCATTATTACTGCTGTAAAATTTTCGTTGTAATTCTACTCTACACACACAATAAAATTACATGTTTCGTAAATTTGCAAATGTTTTTAACCTACTTTAAAATTGTGAATTACTATAACAGTGTAATTATATTCCTTTCACTGTAATGAACATAGTTCTAGGCATCCCGCATATGTAATTTTACTTTGCAACATTAGTTTACTAATTTCTCACGTTATTTTTGTAAAATTTAATACATCGCAATAAGAAATAAATGCTTTTTAGTTTCGATATTTCCAATTTCAGAATTAGAACGTTTTCAGTTGTTAACGTCAGTAAGAAATATCGGGAAATAATATTTTAAATTATTGTTGCAGTATATTTTACTGGTAAAGCTAACAACCAATTAGAATAAATTGTTCTGTCAAGCGAATCGTAAAACGGTTTTAAAAATAAGACGGGGTTTGATATATCGGCGGAAGGTTTTGTCAGCTAAAATAGCGAGCAACGATTCCCACTTTGAGGCTGTTTTGAATTGCTATGGGGCGGTGTTCAACAAAGCTGGGTATTGTACTAGCCAGCTGCACTGGACCGACTCCTGCTGAAAACGAGTTATAGCCGGCTTTTGCCAAGGAAGATCCCAAATTTACATTTGTGTATGCCTTTGTGCATCTATGCACATCAACCCGGCAAAACAGTTGAGAGCCTTCACGCCAGTTGCACATAAAAATCGAATTAAGACGTTGCATAAACTGAATGCGGCTATTTCATTGTCACTATACAGTGTGTCTCACGGTGGTAGAATTATTTCAGAGACTACTTCGATTTGAATTTTGAAAATTTGAGATGCCGGGTTTTCGGGCATGCCCTTCTCAACTAAAATAATGACGTACCACTTCCGGTTATACCGGAAGTTGCCATCAACTTGCTTATTTTAAATGGAACACCCTATATATTACTGCAATTTTGGATTCTACGTGTTATTTTAGGTGGACGTTTATGAAGTTTTTCCCTATTCCTAAAACTAACCGTTTTGGAGATATTTAATTTTCTTCAAAGAAATGGAGAGAAACAGTGACTAACTTCAAACCATGTGTATATTATAGTAAGAAAGATAAAGCAACAATATTTATAGGGGGGGGGATAGCTATACCCTTAAGCTTCCCATCCATACTTTCAAAGTGGCTTAATCGCATACAGGGTGCTAGAAATTTAATGCCGAGTTTAGTTAACTTCAAACCTTCATAGGTCGGTTTTTTTAAATGGAACACCCTGTATGTTTTTCTATATTCCGATACACAGTTTTATTCTCTTTCGAATGGTGTTTCATTTAAAATAAGCAAGTTGATGGCGACTTCCGGTATAACCGGAAGTGGTAGGTGGACGCCATTATTTTAGTTGAGAAGGGCATGCCCGAAAACCCGGTATCCCAAATTTCCAAAATTCAAATCGAAGTAGTCTCTGAAATAATTCTAATGGGCATTCATCGTGAGGCACCCTGTATATAGTTATATTTTAATAAAACATCAAATTACTCCTTTAAGGTGCCCATAATAGTAACACTAAAGTACTCCTGTGCATGTATTTTTTAATGTAGAGATTTCATATAACCGGTCCTCAAAGTATTTACAGATTATCATCTCATTGTTGTTTTGCAAATGTAATCATTTTTGAAGTAATATCTTTCCTTTATTTTAATTATTTACAATCTATCTAGAGTTTTAAATATCCGTTTATATTCTATTCCGATTAGCTACTGACGTCATTTATCTTTGGTAAGGCAGAAGAAAATTGTCCTGCAGGTAAATGTATGGGATATATAGATATTTATTTCTTTTAAATTTATTTATTCAATTGATATATTTTGTGCAAATTTATGCATTAGACACAACCCTATTTCTCACAGCGTCGGTAGGATATTAATGAAGTCACTAGATGTTATTTATAGAAAGTCGGCGTTGTGTTGAATAGGTCGGATTGTGTTTTTTTTTGGTTCCAAATATTCTTCGCCTTGTAAACACAAACTTATTCAACCCAAAAATATTTCGTGTATACTGCCAATCTTGTCGGATACACAAAATCCGCAGATTCTAGGACCTCTTCGGTGTAACAATATTCAGTTGGTATTGTTACATTTTTGCGTAAAATGTTTCCGATATGTTTGTACTTAATCGTCGAGTCACTGAACTAGACTAACGACAATACAACGCACTTGATAAGTGGTATTTATAACATTTTTAAATCTATCAGCTAAGTACCACCAGAGGTATAACTTTGGTAATTTGGATATTAAAAATAGAAATAATGATCTCGGACTGCTCTGAAATTTTATAGATAATTTTTTTATGATATATTAACCTAATTTAAAAATATTTCCGCGTTCGAATTGTGATTTTTTTTTATATAAATAAGAACTTTTACATAAACAATTATTAATTTAATCGTGGAACTGCATTTTTAACGACAAATCTACATATAGGTATCTTAATATGCATTTAAATCCATTTTATATGATACAATTAAGTTTCGTACAATGAATGCTCTATTCTTTCCTGCTAATTGGTTATTCGTTTAGGTGTGTGTCATGCTGACGAACTGCAGTACCTGTTTCCAATTGGTGATGGGCTATTTCCAGATAAAGAACCATCGGATGACGATAAAATGATAGCTGAACTTTTGACAACATTGTGGGTAAACTTTGCCGAAACTGGGTAAGATTAATTTTTTCAATTTCAAAACTTGCTTATTTCAGTTTTGACATAACTGAATTGATGTACAGTGAGTAATAAAAAATAACATATATTGTAGCTAGAACTATTAGAAACTAAAATGTGACGATTAAGCGAAATATGCCTTGATACAAATATTTAAAAGACGGGGTATGGAAGGCAAGGAATAACATACAAACTCTATTCCATAACGTAGAACACAAAGTTGAATTTAATTTTAATTTTTTAATTTTAACATAAAATACATCACTGGACGTTAACAGAGTTATCAACTTTTCTTAACACGGCTTGTAGTAACCAGAATTTTCATAGCAAAAAGATTTATTTGGTCTTTAGTACACCATCTTAGTAAATATTGCATTGGTATTCCACACAAAAACTAAAAAATAAGGAGAAAACAAATTTTATTATTTATAGTCAATCGAGTTTAAGCTATGTAAGCGGAAATGTCTCTTCAAAACGAAAACAAGAGTTAACATGATGGTATTGTAAAAAATACATTTAAAATAAACCTCAAAGTAGAGAGTTTATAATCAAAGTGAAGTGAATAATGTATAAAAATAACAAATGAAACAAGTTTTACCCGAATATATCGATTATAACACAAAGAAGGTGAAAATCAAGTTCAAATAAATCAAAAAAATTTGAAAAAAGAAGAAGCCTCCAATTTAGCCAAATTCATGTTAGAAATTGATTTGAAGTTTCAAGAGGAAAGTAGGCAGCTCATATTACATCCACTATGAAGATTTTATCATCGTCTTCACACACCCAAACTAGAGATTTATAATTGTGAGAATATTTGATAAAATTGATATAGTTCTCTTTTTGATACAATAATTCCCAAGTTGTTGTCTTTAAATAAAATCATAAATATAAAAACAGTTTCGCAATTTTTTAAAAAAGGTAATTGTTATGCATTTTAAGTTATTTGAATTTGTAACTTGCTAACAGCGCCATCTGGTGCGCTACTATAAACCAGCTCTCCATTAAAGTCAATACAAATAAACAGTAATATCAGAAATAAAATAATAATTTAAAATTAATTCAAAATTTAAAAGAGGAATGTGAGGTTATAAAAACATTGACAGAAAACGATCATTGCAACACATTCTCACAAATTCACAAATTTTCTCCTACGGCGTCGCCTAGCTGAAGTGACTTTTCTGCTTTATTTGTAGTAAAAAAAACAAATATCTGGGGAGAATAACTTAATAACTCCAAAACGGCGGGTAACAGAGGCCACATGGTATTTCTTGAGAAAATTATATCGCATTCTGTTGAAAGTGGGAGAAAATTTATCATAATACCATAAAAGCAGTTCAAAAACAATTGATTATAAAATAAGCCTCAATATTTGTAATTTTTATTACACATCTTAAAATATAAATTACTATTTTAGAAATCCAACTCCACAGTTGAGCAATTTGATCAACGAGATGTGGAAACCAGTCCAATCAGATGACATGGAATATTATTACATCGGTACCAAATCGGCAGAGATGCAAACTGGGTTACTTTTGGAGAGAGCTAAACTATGGAGGAGTTTTACTACTCATCACAAGTTAAAACAAATTAAAGATGAGTTGTAAATAGAGGATACAAAACTATTTGTCTAATTTAATTTAAATTTGTATGTACAGCAATTTAATAAAGAAAGAATATTTATATAATTGTAGTGAGTATTATTCTATACTACACTAAAATTGAAAATGGATGCATAAGGTTTTAGATCATTCTTTCACTAACTAACTTGTAGACCGGATCTAGTACTTGAGTTTTCTAGATATTTTGAAATCTACTGTAGAGTAGTTTCAAAATCTCATGAGCCACGATATGCGCGAAAGGCGTGGCGTATCCGCATAATTCTTCTAATAAGCACGTTGTGAAAACATTTACTCAGAATTAGACCACGTGCCTCATTACTAGAGAGCGGACAATGTGTGACTTTAACCCGAAGAATAGGTCAAATTTTGGTAGAGATGTGTACGCGTTCAAAAATGTATTGTGTATAAACTATGCAAAATATAATTATTATGTATAGCAAATATATCGTATTATCCTCGCGAAGATTTGTACCCTTTATTTAAAATCCACAAATCATGTGAACAGGTTAAATAACAAGAAAATAATTAAGTTAATTTAGTTCTATAGAAATGAAATGACACTCGCGCCCATCTCTAGTCCATCCATCGACATCGGTTGCGTTTATCGAATTCCTATTGGTCAGAATTCAAACTGCAGCCCTGTTATGAATGGAGCGTGAGTTGGACTATTCTATCATGTGCGTCGCCTGAGGCTATTCGTTACATTGACTCCTAATTTCCAATTAAAAGAACGACACTATTTTTAACCGAACTTTATTTAATAAATATGTAGTATACAATTTCTGATTTTCTAAATATTTTATAACGCCTAAAAATGTATGTACCGTGGAATTTTCGTGAATAATCACGTAAATTTCCGATGCATACCCGACACGCCACTGCGTCATGGGTAATGTATCTAGGTTTATGAATTATCTATGTTCAAGGTTAAAGTCACAAATTGTCCGCTCTCTGCTCATTACAACCAGAAATGACGTAAGGCGCTCGGGCATCAATAAAGACAACTGGCGAACGTTCGTTATATACAGGGTGTTTCCTAGATAGATGTAATGATTTTAAGAGGTGGTAGGTGGGGCTATTTCCTACCCATTGCACCACTTTTAGCCTAGTCCAAAGTTGCCTGTTTTTTTTATTTTTAATTTTGTATTTTTTTCAACTCTACCCAAAAATTGACCTATGATTATTAATTGTTCATATTATAACTGTGGTATAAAACTGAAATAGGCTGACAGTACCTGTACGTGCTTCACTGTTTCACCTTGAATCAAGAACTAAAAATGTACAATTCCATTAAAGTCGAAAAAAGAAAAAAGTGAGCATTACTTTATTGTGATGATTATACTTTTGTCTCAATGTCGTAGCCGTAAATCCAATTTCGTCTCCCGTTATGATCCTTTGAATGAATGTTTCTTTGTCATTGGATTGTTCAAAGATTTGCCGACAAACGTCAACACGATTTTCTTCTGTTATTCGGTCATCAAACAAGGAACACATTTTGCTGTAACTCAATTTTTCAGTCAAAATTTCGTGGCGTGACTCATTTGATATGCTAACCTCTTCTGCAATTTATCTGACAGTCAATTGCCGATTTGCATACACCAGATCTTTGGCTTTCTGTACGTGGGGTCATCAGTTGAACTCGAAGGCAGTCCTGATCGAAGATCATCTTCAATTGACTGACAACCATTTCTAAATCGTGAAAACCATTGGTAACATTGTATACGACCAAGAGTATGATATCCGTAAGCTTGTTTCAAAAGTTGAAACGTTTACGTTAAAGTTTTCCTCAGATCCACATAAAATTTTACGTTGCACGAAAACTAAATGAGATATCAACAATCCAAAAACATGTGATTACAGATGAGGTTATGCGCAACGCAATACTGCCAATCGCATATATGACAAAATATATCTATTAGGGCGTAATTCAAAAAGTTCGGTTATTTTATGAACAGACTTCGTATGTATTTATTAATAATAATTATATTATCTCTAAATAGAACATAATTACTCATCAAGTTTCATTGAAATTCCTCAAAATAATATAAAAGACCGATGACGTACAGTAGTAACAAATATAAAAATAAGGAGTATAATCGTTGACTGAAGTATTGTGTCTTACACTGCAATTACAGTATAGAAAACAGTAAAATCACAACCCCTCTTTTGTGGACCACAACCCCACTGCTCTAAAAGTCCAGTAAAGGGATGCGTGATCTATGCGCAATAGCAAGCCCAGCCCCTAGTCCACCAACAAACCCAACTTAGCTTTCAGCTTTGGAGGTGCCCCTACTTGTGCGTGGTGTCTGTGCAGTCACTTAAAGCGATATAAAAAACGAAACTAGGGTCCATTTTTTATAAAGATGTTAGATAGGCAGTGAATTTACTGTTTTCTATACTGTGCTGCGATGTAGATAGCAGTTTGACCAACGACCAATGGTAGTGGCTAGTTGCACACTAGATCTAATCTGAAAAAACGCCATCACATTCTATTGGCGAATCATAAACTAGAATTGTTTATGTGTACCGGAATCATAAAATATATTATGCTTGTTTTTACAGTTACTATAGGATGTAATTAATTATTCTTCTTCGTAACCATGATCACTTCTCCTCAACCTTCTGTGATGAATTGTACCTGAGATATAGCCGACGTTCTCTCTCTCGTATTTGGACACCCTGCATGTGATAAACGTTATTTGCATAATAAAATGTATAAAATATTACGATATGAACGATTTGCATTATAAAATGCAATACGATCCAAATGTATATAATTAAATATTTATTAAATTAAAAATAAATTCGTATTATAACTTGCAATAACAGAAAATAATTTATTGCCTATACAGACTGTTACAAATTCGCTTCTCACTACAGGGATCTCGGAAACGGTAAGAGGTACGAAGTAGCTTAAATGGGGGCAAAGTTGCGTAATCAGGGAACCAACATTATGCCTCTAAAAAATCAAGATCATGAAGGCTTGCAAAAAATGTAATAAAATTTCTAGGATCGTATTTAAAAAAATGATGGTCCGGAGGGATAAAAAGTTACAAATAAAAATTGATTATGCCATTCGATAGAGGGCAAAAAGTGACCATGAGAAAGTGTTCTTCTTTTTTCAATATCACCTCAAACAAGGCTGAAATGAAACAAAAACGGATTTCCAAAATTTCGTTTTTTTTTCAAATATTTCGAAAACTAATAATAGCCTTGATTTTTTAGAGTCATAATGTTGGTCCCCTGATTACGTAACTTTGCCCCCATTTAAGGACGGGATTTTGTACAAAAAATATCGCCCAGCGTGAGTCACGAAACGAGACCCCGGCAAGTGCTGCTCTAGCGGCCAACGCTTCAAGGTGTGTTTTTTAACCGAACGACGAAGAATAGAAGTCTAATAACATACGCTGCACCAATATTCGCCCGATTTTTCAGGAACGGCTCCAATTTGTGTATATACAATCTTATAAGGAAAGAGAGTAAAGATTTTATTAATCAGTAATAGATTACCGAGGACAATAATATTTTTTTTATTAAGTAGGCAATAATTTTTAGTTATTAAACAATCTTATAATTACTATTCCTTCATTATACGATTTTTAAAATTACATGTAGTTTCTTCTTCAAAAGTGACCTTAAAACACGTATAACATGGAATAGTCAACAGTCTAATGTTTATATTTTCACGTTAACGATCCGATACGTAAATTAACTGCTATTTTCAGTAAAAATGATATAACTTGAATTATTTTTTTACTTTGGTGAGTCGTATTAATTTAAAAACACTGCCTAATTACTAAAATATATAGCTACTTATATATACTTATACTAACTTGCTACTAATTACGTTTGTAATTAGTAGCAATATATATGTATAGTAGGGTGGCACAAAAAAAACGATTTTTTTTTGTGTCGTGAAAATATGTTAGTTTAACATGTTTTAAGAGCTCCCTCAAAAAATCAGCTCAAAAATTTTTTTTAGAGGTCCCAAGATTTTTAAAAATTTCCAAAATCGTTAAAAATTGAATTTTTTATCTTTCAATTTCAATTCAATAAAAAATAAATTATTAGTTCGTTGATATTTATTTTTTAGAGATCGCTCGAAAACATAGATACACTACTTTGAAAATTAAAATAATTATGAGTGACCTTTAGAAATTAAAATATCGATTTGAAACTTTCAGAATCGAGATTTTTTTCAACCTAGAAAATGATAAAAAAACGGGAAAAAAATTAAACACAAAAAAATTAAATTTGACGATTTTGGACATTTTTAAAAATCTTGAACGACCTCTAAAAAATTTTTTCTTTGACCTGACGTTTTGAGGGGGCTCTTAAAACATGATAAACTAATATATTTTCACAGGAGACACGAAAAAAAAATAATCGTTTTTTTTGTGGCCCACCCTAAATTGTATAGGCATAACATATTATATTATATATTATTATTGTATCTATCAGGGAAATATTATTAAAATTTTAAGTTATTATTAACAAGATGTGTAATGGAATTCCCCTAGCAGGTAAGACCGTCAAGAAATTGTTCTTATCTAATTCCAATATAATGATTCCCACTGCAAAAAATGACTGAGCAAGATACCGTTGGACTGGAATATAATTACTGGTAAATAATATAGGTACATATAATTTCATAAGGGTGCATAAGGGTGAAAAATTTGAAAAAGTCAATTGAAGAACCATACATTCAAGGTATGCACCAGGCTCGGTCCCTACGCAGCAACTCGGCATTGAAATATTTGAAAAACTTGTTCCCATATTTATTTAGCCATACCCATACAGAGGTCTGGTGGGACTAAACGTGCAGCTGGTAGAAATGTATACGCCCAGTTGAAGAATGCGCGTGCGGGCAAATAATGTCCCATACAGTTGCTTTGGTCAACTGCGTCGTGAATTTCAGTTCTAGACAAGTAGCTTGGCAGTGCAGTGCGGGAATGCGGAATTTGGTGTGATTCAGATAATTTTAATTTACTATAGGTACCTTCTATCAATCATTCATATGACAATTGCGAAAGGGAGAAATAAGAGGG